ACATCAACTTTTGCCAAAAAAGGCCTAATCAAAGTGCCTAAGAGCCACTCAACTTTGGAAAATGGATCATCTATACCAAGTCCTATACTTGCTTGTATTTCTTCCTTAGCATGTAAACTTCATTTGTGATATGGTGTGACATTGCAACATGAATAAAGTGTGCAGTAAGGGTTTGCAGAAACAATGGGTGCAAACATCCTTAAGTTGGAATTCAAACTGAGAAAGAGAGCCATTCTTGTACATGGTGCTTTTATACCCTTTTCTGGTATATACATATATATAAGCGAACTGTGAATTATGTTTTATTTTATATTTACCACTTACCCAAAAGATTGTTTGATGCTGTTATGGCATGAATATCACCGGTCAAATGGAGGTTAAACTAAATAAACCACAGCAGAGCAAGTTTAAAAAAGAACATTAATTTGTAGAGGTTTATTAAAATACAAACTGAACTGTTTGAAACTTGACAATGTAATTTATATATCAGACAAATAGCTGATTGGCTAAATTTAGTTAAATAACTTTCAAAATTTGTACTGAAGAAAACTTTTAACCAGAACACTTGATAAACCATTCTGACCATATGTAATAATTCTTCGCAGATTGATACTGACCTCCTCCATGGGTATAACCTGTGAATATCCTCCACCTGCTGCACCACCTAAAATGACGTAGTACTATATTAATTATTATTTACCTATGAGACAAAGGACACGTCTTACAAATGATGTGATCAGCTTGTAGCCAATTTAAGTCAGAATTACTAAATCACAATAAGTATAAGCTGAATTTGTTGGCTAGTGAACTTTTATAGAATTTGTGGCTTCTAAAGGGGCCGTTTGGTAAAAAGCTTTCAACTGATAAACAGTCTTCTTGACATCTGCACTTTTTTATATTGAAAGAGAAAGCATAGCACCATTCCCATAATAAAACAGGGTTAAGCAAATCAGTGTGGAAGAAAATGTACTGAGATTACATAATGTGTACTATCAAAGGGGTTATATCTACATGTATCCCAGTTGAATGGTCCAGATTAATGGTTTTTTTAATTAACTTTAGAATTCTAACCAAAATCCAACCTACACTGAAAGTGTTCATAATGTGGATCACTTAAAATACCTTTGATGCCAAATGTTGGGCCCTGGGAAGGCTGTCGAATACAAGCAAAACAGTTCTTTTTCAGATGGGCTCCCATTGCCTGTGCCACGCCTATAGTTGTTGTACTCTTTCCTTCTCCAAATGGAGTGGGGGTCATACTGGAAAAGGTTATATATTTGTAAATATTAATATATCAAATTATTCTCACATTAATTGGTTCTTACTTATGATCAATTGGACGACAGGTGCACAGATAACATCATTAACATGCTTTTCATTTCTTTATTATATAAAACATATAGATTCCATATTGCCAGGTGTCTGTTCAGTAATTTCAATTTAGTCCATAATTCAATCAATTTGTCAAATTAACTCATTTCCTTTGCAAATAGGGTTTGCATTGAAGGATAAAGCCAAACACAGCTAGAGAAATCAACAAACATTTAATTAAGAGCCTCAAGGAGTTACATCATGCAGAAAACAGAGTTCAGCTGGACAGTCATTTGATGAGTTCTGCTACGTTAAAAACAACTCCACTTACCCAGCAACAACAACATATTTTCCATTAGGTTGGTCCTTCAGTCTTTCCAAAACACTAAGGGATACCTTTGCCTTTTTGTTTCCATAAAGGTCAATCTACAGGAAAACAAAAACAATACAATACATCAGAGAAGTGTGATATTCACACAGTCTGATAAGTGGGAATGTGGAAAATTTTGGTCCCAAAATGGTCTTGTACATCAAGGTCCTTAATTTACAGTACATTGGTTGAGGCTGGGTGTTTTTGCATTCTGGACTAGATATTCCTAATCAATAAGATGTGCTAGGTAGTTCTCAGCCTTTAACTGCTCCTTCACCTGTCTAACTTACTGTAATCAACACAAAAATGACATGTCTTCTTTTCACCAGTATCATGGAT